AAAAATATCCACAGTTGAGGTCAGCAGCTCCATACACGGTGTTGGCAAAGGACTGCATCCCCCTCCTGAGGCGCCGGACGGTTTGCCAGAATCTCTTCTAGACCGACCGATAGTCATGCTCCATGGACTCTCCAAACTCCTCCCAGTCCCGGGTTTTGGCCTCTGCAACAGCCCGGGCCGCGGCACGCTTGGCCTGCCGGTACTGGAAAGCTGCCTCAGGAGTCCCACGAACCATCATGGCTCAATAGGACTCCTTCTTCAGCCTGACGGCATCCCTTACTGCCGGTGTCCACCACCGGGTTCGGGGGTTGCCGCCGGGATCAGCACCAGAGACCTTGCGACCACAGCTACGAGCCGCCGCATCAACGATAGAAGAAGAAAACATGGTCCACTCAGACTCTGATCTGCTCTCCCGGAGGTGTGAGTTGAAAGTCCGTCCAACAGGGGGCTAAGCGAGACGTTCCCAGCAAACCCTCACTACACGCTTGTGTCTGCCAGGTCTGACCGGCTTCCTCCCCTGCCAGCGGATCCAACTCACGACCAGGTGGTGATCGGTTGACAGCTCCGCCCGTCTCTTCACCCGAGTGTCCGAGACACACGGCCGAAGGTCAGATGATACGACAACAAAGTCGATCATCAACCTCCGGCCTAGGGTGTCCTGGTGCCACGTGCACTGGTGGACACCCTTGTGCTCGAACATGGTGTTCGTGATGGACAAACTGTGACTGGCACAGAAGTCCAACAACTGAACACCACTCGGGTTCAGATCAGGGGGGCCGTTCTTCCCGATCACCCCTCTCCAATTGTCACTGGCATTTCCCACATGGGCGTTGAAGTCCCCCAGGAGAATAACGGAGTCCCCAGGCGGTGCACTGTCCAGTACACCTCCCAAGGACTCCAAGAAGGCCGAGTACTCTGCAGTGCTGTTAGGCCCGTACGCCGTCACAACAGTGAGAGACTTGTCCCCCACCCGGAGGCGGAGGGACGCGACCCTCTCATTCATCGGGGAGAACTCCAACACGTGGCGGCTGAGATGGGGGGCAATGAGTATGGCCACCCCAGCTCGCCGCCTCTCCATGCAAGAGACACCAGAAAAGTGGAGAGTCCAACCCCTTTCAAGGAGTTGGGTTCCAGAGCCCAAGCTGTGTGTGGAGGTGAGGCCGACTATCTCTAGTCGGTATCGCTCAACCTCCCCTACAAGCTCGGGCTCCTTCCCCCCCAGTGAGGTTACGTTCCACGTCACAAGAGCCAGATGTTGGGTGTGCGGACTGGGTCGCCGAGGTCTCCGCCTTCGACTGCTGCCCAGTCCTCTCAGCACCTCGCCACCACGGACCCCTCTGCAGGTGGTGGGCCCACAGGAGGGACTGCCCACGTCGACCTTTCGGGCTTAGTCCGGCCGGGCCCCATGGACTAAGGCCCGGCCACCAGGCGCTCGCTTGCGAGCCCCGACCCAAGGCCTGGCTCCAGGGTGGGGCCCTGCCGGGCGACGTCACTGTTTTCAAAGCAGTGCTGTCCATGGTTGGCTTCGGAAGTCAAACACATGCATGATATTTGTGTTGCTCTACATCAGTCCTCTGGCCCGTACTGTCCTCTACACTGCGCCTAGTAATGTTACGTGCATATGCGCACAGTCTGTTAACGCCTACGGTGTAAATTCCCTGTTAGAGGTGTTTTGTTAAAATGATGCTTTTGCGTTAAGCATGTTATAGAAGTAATGATTTCAACTATTTTCTTGTATAAACTGAAGATGTTAAACAATAATTGAAAATGTGTGTTCATTAAAAAGGAAAACAAAATTAAACTGTGTAGTTGTTTGTTCAATTAAACTAATTAGAATACAGAAACAGTCATATTTAACGGCCAGTTAAATATGACTTAATATAAAATAACATTATAATGCTGTTTTTGTTGCATGTGAATTAACAGGAACATACAGTTAAATCCTGAAATCACAAAGTCATAATGTGATTCAGTGAAAGTCTTTAACCGTTAAAATTAGCAACGGTAATGCCATGTTGAGAAAACGGTAAATCCCTGGAACCATATTTGCCAGCTTTTTACCGTTTTCTACAAGGAAATTCTTTACAGTGCATGTTGTTGGTGTCTTTAGAGGGAGCAAAGACAAATGGAGCTCGCTGGAAAAGGATGAGTTTGTGGTTCCGTGTCGTCCTCAGGGTCTCGCTCCGACGGGAACGAGGCTGAACTTTGGACAGAGATTCTTTTTTAATACAGCCAACGGTGAACTATGTGTGAAACAGAACTATCAATGTTCAAAACCAACACTTCTTTAAGAATACGTTTGTAACTGCCTTAAATATAAAGATCTATTTAACATTATCCTGTAGTGCACAACAGTTCAAGGCTGTGGGTTTCTTTGCAATTGGTCTTGGTCTGATGGAAAACTTCTTATAAAAACTATGAATCAATTGCTCTGATGGTTAGGGGTCAGCTGGAGCAGCCAATCACAGGCTCCGTTGGTGAGGTCATCATTGCAGAGTCCGTGAGGTAAAGCTTGTCTCTGAGAGAATGAAAGATGCAGCAGTGGATCCGTCGTAAAGAAGTGCTGAGCCTTTAATGGAGGCCACTCTTCTGGAACTGACAGATTCTCTACGAAGTCCTGAAGCCGAGTCCAGAGAGCTCCACACTCTCTGATGTGAAAGGATGGTCCTTGTGAACCATGTTAAATTACCTCCAGAGTCTTGTCATCCTGTCACAGCAGTGTTATGTGGCGCGCCAAATTCTTTTGGCTGCCGCGCCGGCGCTGTCAGGCCGTCTGTCTTCTACCTTAAGCAACTCACAGAACGCTAGTACACCAATTCATCTGGGAAAGGAATGAGATGGTTTAGCCTCAAATATGCAGCAAACATTAGCCTGTAGCATTTATCAACATTAGCATAATGAAGGCTGCATGGTCTCAGACCATTTTGGATAAATGGGTACTTTTGGTTAAAGCAGATTAGGTCCTGCCAAAGATGACCGAAGCATGTTTTAATGTCCTTATGGCATTATCAAATGCAGACAAAGATGGGATGAAGACTTTTAGGGACAGATGGAAAGGATCACATCTTCAAAGGGACATAAATAGTTTGGTTTGATGCTGCACATTTATGAGAAGAATGTGTTTTGAGTCATACACTGTACAGAAAGACTCTTAAGTAAATGGAAGGGAACAAAAACATGATCCTCTGTCGTGGTGCTCATGTGCTAATGTTATAAATGTGGCGCTGTCTGTTTTCTCTGCTGCACATGACAAAAAAAACATATCTTCGTTAAAAGTTGGAGGCGACATCTCCACTGTCTCCAAATGAATGGGCTGCAGTGCTGTGAGCGGCCTTTGAACCAGTTATTATACTAGACCCTAACCAGTTATTATACTAGACCCTAACCAGTTAATATACTAGACCCTACCCAGTTCTTATACTAGACCCAGTTATTATACTAGACCCTAACCAGTTATTATGCTAGACCCTAACCAGTTATTATACTAGACCCTAACCAGTTATTAAACTAGACCCTATCCAGTTATTATACCGGATCCAATCCAGTTATTATACTGTACTGCAAATGGTTTAAAATAGATTCAATGCCAGTTGTTATGATGTGGTTTAGATAAAGCAGCAGGGGTTGGAGGGGGTTAAAACAAGGGCACGTAAAAAGGCAGCTGCAGTTAATTGACAGTTTCAGAGTGCTCCACTTGGTTTTTAAGTTATTCCTATTTGTCTGACTTCTCTGGCCAACTTTGAAATATTTATCAGATCCAGTAGTTAAGAGATGTTTGAAATAGACCTTGGATGTGTGCCCTCTGTGCCCTGCTCTGTCTGTTCTGCTTCAGTTGGTTCTGGATCTGATCATCCGATGCTCTGACCTCTGACCCCTAAGCTCTGCTGTAATTGCAGCTCGATGGACGAGTGAGAAACAGATCAGAGCAGAGTGAAATAAAGACGTCCTCTCAGGCTCCAGGGCAGACAGCCTGCTCATAAGACTTCAATGTCTTTTTTGCATTTAAACCATTTTTAAATGTAGTTCATTTTCTAAATAAAACACAGTTTGAGATCTCACTACATTTATTTTGAGGCCATGATTTTTGTTTTTCATTTTCCAAACTCTAAGATTCCAACAAATGCATTTTTTGTTAGAACTTCCTTCCAAGGATGAAGTTCAAATTACTCATTACTCTTATAGTGAACCGTCCCCTAATGCTATAACATCAGCCTCATTCACATAAACCTTTCATATGAGCAGCAGGAACATCAGCCCCATTCACATAAACCTTTCATTTGAGCTGCAGGAACATCAGCCCCATTCACATAAACCTTTTGTATCAGTAGCAGTACCAGTTCACGGCAATAGACCTATATTCACGTAAAAGCTATTTCCCTAGCACTTTCCGGTGTCTGCTCTCTCTCTGCCCAATTCACATAAACATACCAGTTCCTTGCTCTGGAGCTAATACCACAGCAGCAGATCTTAACGTGACACAACATGAATGACAGAAGATGGCGCCAGCAGAATGACGGCCAATAAAATACTTATGAAAGTCTAAACACATTGAGCTGCGTAAAGGATTACACACAACTTTTCAACTTTATAAATAAACAACTTTACTCACCTTAAGTCTAACCTGAGCCTCAGCTTTTTTCTCAGGAAGTCTTTGTACTGAAACATGATGCAGTTAAAACTTTAATACCATTTGATTTTCTTAAATACAGTGTGACTAAAATCCGGTTTGCAGTTTAGAGAATATTAGATCCAACACAGTATTGTAACACACAGTAAACCCTGGCAGTTTATTATATTGTAGGTTCTATTACTGTCCCATGAGATTAACAGGACGAGAAAACCCCAAGACTCACTTTGTCATTCACATAAACCGCTAAAGGGGAAAGTGTCGAGGAAACACACAGGTCTTGTTTTTATGTGAATAGATTGACTGGAGTCTCTGAGACATTTGTGAGAACAACACGCTGTGATTGGCTATGGCTGTTTGGAGATTGGGGTCTATGAGTCTGCTGTGGAGTTACTGCTCCATCGCATCACAGACCCTCACATCTGGCAACCCGACCACACCTGGCAACCAGACAACACCCGGCAACCTGACCACACCTGGCAACCAAACTACACCTGGCAACCAGACCACATCTGGTAACCAGACCACACCTGGTAACCCGAACACACCTGGCCACCCGACAGCTCAGTGCAGTGAGATGAGCAGTGCAGCGCTGGTGGGAATGACTTGGAAATTGAGAAAGTAAAGAACCAATAACATCCTTGAGAAGCTAAAGGTTCTAACTCTATTCTACAACACTGTCAGCAAAGAAGAAATATGTCTAAAGGCAAAGTAAAATGTTTATGTCATGAAAATAACTTTATTTGCTTAATGTGCAGAAATGAAGCGAAGAAAGGGACTGCAGCAGCTGTGGCTCTGACGGCGGCTTTGGACAGCAGCCAGTTTTCTCTGTCTCTGTTTGTTTGGTAAAAGATGGCAGCAATCATTCTTATTAGCAGTGAGATTAGCATGAGGACCAGTGTTAATGACCATCACATGGAGGAAACACGCTTGTTTGGTTTTGGCTGTGTCATAAGGTGATGACAGCGGAGAACATCTTGCAGTATTTTGTGGTATCGGAAAACTCTGTAAACAACTCTATTCATGGCTCAAACAAAATGGTCAGTGTGTCTGTAAAAGGTTGCGTTTGAAATATTTTAGTCCTTTGATAAAACACCAAGAGTCATTTAGAGATGGACTCAATTCTGTGGCTCCAAAATGAAAGATGTCAGGAATAAAACCAAATATGCTATGTAATGCTATATATATATATGTATCTATATATTTTGTATTTGTTCACATACGTTGCTCTTAAAAACTCCGAGCACAGGGGGTCTTATTTACCTAATTATTTTGTGAAAGCGAGTTGGCGTTCGGGGACTTTTATCAAACGCAGGCTGCACCCAGCCTCCAGCCTTGTTGTGTGTTTTGCATTAGACTTAGTAATGAGCTCCAAATGTGAGCAAAGGTACAGAGAGGACAGGCGCCTCCGAAACACTGCTTAAAGAACAACAATGTGACGATCAGAGCTGAGAATATGCTTCATTGCAGAAGTGAAAGGCAAAGAAGGTCCTTCTATGGTGTGAAGGCAAAGGAGGTCCTTCTATGGCGTGAAGGCAAAGGAGGTCCTTCTATGGCGTGAAGACAAAGGAGGTCCTTCTATGGCGTGAAGGCAAAGGAGGTCCTTCTATGGCGTGAAGACAAAGGAGGTCCTTCTATGCCGTGAAGGCAAAGGAGGTCCTTCTATAGTGTGAGGAGAAAGTGTGGACAGTGATGGGGAAGGTTGGTTTCTGTCATTTTTGGTAAATGATTTTTCTGTTCAGTAATTAGGACCGTGACCGTGTCAGTGTCTGTGACCGTGTCCGTGACAGTGTGCTCCGAGTCAATGTCTGTGTCAGTCTTCGTGACCGTGTCCGTGTCCGGGACCGTGTCCGTTACCATGATCGTGTCCGTGTCCGTGTCTGTGACCGTGACCGAGTGTGTGTTCGTGACAGTGTCCGTGACAGTGTCTGTGACAGTGTCAGTGACCGTGTGTGTGTCCCTGACCGTGTCAGTGTCTGTGACCCTGTCTGTGACCCTGTCCGTGACAGTGATCGTGTCCATGATTGTGTCTGTGACCGTGACAGAGACTGTGACCGTGACAGTGTCCGTGTCCCTGACAGTGTCCGTGACCGTGACTGTAACCGACACGCACACTGTCACGGTCCACATTAAAATGCAATCTAAAAAATATAGACATAAAAAAGTATTTTTCCCAAAGAATATTATTTTTACGCAATATCTGTAATTGAATGGCTCAGATGTTCCCATTGTCTCCTAAACCTCACATGTCCCTGTATCGTGTTTTCATGAAGATGGATTGTCTCACATGTTATTGTCACTAACAGCTCATTTGAAGTTCACTAAAGCAGCAGAATCCAGGACGGTCAATGATAGTTTCCACATGTGCAGTGTTTTCTTTGTGATAAGTCTTTTCCCTCGTCCTTTTCTTGGAAGAAAACGAACAATGACAAATCCCACGTTTATCAGTTTAAGAGTCAACATGAGAGGTAAAAGGTCTTGGCACCTCTGAGAAAGAATTCACATTTTGTCTTGGAACATTTTTAGTATTAATATGTCACGGCCACAACGCAGGTTGTGTGGTGACGTGTGAAGCGCCGTAAGCTAACGCGCTAAAGTCACCTCTGAAGTGTAGTTTATGCAGCAGAATCTGGATCACTTAGTGCTAATCCATCTGAGAGTCATTGGGACTTTTCCTGCTCTGACCCTTGGCCTTTCTCAAGCTCAGTGGTCTGGTGTAGAATCACAGGGGTTTGAAAGCAATTGGACCATCTCGTCATTGCCCTGTAATTGTTTTAACCTCTTAACTAACACCGGCGCGCCGGCGGCCGTTTTTATGTTTTTAAATGTTCTGCTGGCAATAGCAGATGTATTTTGAACACCAAACCCCAAAAGCTGTATATCATTTTAAAGCTTATTTTCTTATCTACATTTATATACAAGTGTAAACTACATCAGATTTGCATTCAAAAGATATAACACATAATGTGGGCACAAAATAAATCAATTCCGAAATAGTTTTTTACCTTTGGGCTTGTGCTGTACAAATAAATCAGCTCTCCTCCCAGCTTGCAATACATCATTCTCTCTGGAACAGTCCAAAGGAAAATTATATCCACTTGTATTTCCCAAAGTAAAATCCATTCTGCAGAAATAATCCAAAAATTTGCATTTATCTTTAGCGAAAAAAACAAAAAAAAAGAGCACAGATGTTACTCTTTCACTTTTAAACGTGTTCCTTAGCTCCTTATCTTTCAAATGAGACTACTCCCGAAAAGCTAGACCAATTTTTGGGTCTGCAAGAGCTCCCGCGAGTACAGCTAGTGCTGCTGTTTGCGCATTGATCACTGATCTTTGTTGTGATCCCAACTTGTTTGCTTTTACTTCCGGGATTTACGATTGACATGTCCTTGTAGCCAATGAGGAAAGCTTTCGAACAAGGGGTGGGACAATGGTGTCCTGTCTTATGTTGGGCCTGGACAATTGTGCGTAATGGCAGCCAAAAGACGCTCTCGAAGCTGCAATGAATTTACACTCATAAAAAAATTACTTTGACATTTAAAAAAGAAAAACACACATAGATTAGTAACTTATAAGTACCAATAATAAAAAATATTGTTTTTATGATGATTAAATGTAAGTAAAGATATTTGGCACAATTTGGCACACTTGTGCCAAATTGTGCCAAATGTGTACTACTTGATGAAAAGGAGAAACTGCATAAAAACTATAAAACTTAGAAGTCTGAAACTTTAGACAGTTGTTGTCAACAACACAATGAACAGAGGGTTTGAATATTGTGAACTTACAATGAAGTATGCCTTTTTTAGGGCCTTTAGAAATTGAAAATGTTAGGCGAGGCTAAAAAAATTGGGTTTTTTTCCCTAACTTCAAAGGATGCAGAGGAAAATAGGAATGACAAACATTATTTTAGTGTTTTTTTACATAAACTAGAAGGCTCTAGCTTTAAAATGATGCATCACACAAGCATGTGAGATGTAAGATGTGTTTTTAAATAAGCAAAGACATTTGGGTATGCCAAACTTTTGTGCACAAGCCAAAATGAGGCGGTTGTTAAGGACTGGTGCAGATATTTTGACTGGAAATAACGTGTTATGTCTGGATTTACCTTTCCTTTTTTTGATCAAATTTCAAGAATGTTTTTTTCCTGCACATTGGGTCCAGACTGCAAAACCCCAAGAACATTCTTAACAGGTTTCCCAGTGGCTTTGAAGGATGGGTCAAATGCAGAGGACATACTTTCCTACAGAACAGTGAAGTACTTTATATTATTTGGAACTTGTCCTACTTGTTTTACATTTGACCTTTTCTGTTTTTCAAGTTCATAATCCAGAAGCTCTACTCACTTTATGAACACAGAAGGACAGTAAGTCCAGCTTTACTCATACAGAACCATCAACTACTGGTCCTGGTCCTGCTCCTGCTCCTGACCCTGGTCCTGGTCCGGATGCTCTGTGTGCAGAGGGTTTTATGCCAGACAACCTTCCTGATGTTACCTTTCCCAGAGTATTTAAATAGTATTCAGATTGTCCCATGCAACATCATACACATTTTAGAACCACAATTATTTTCTGTACTCATCGTAAATAACAGGAAGCTCCAAACTAGCTATTTTGCAAACAAGTTATAAAAAAGAAAAAAATAGATTCCATCACATAACAGTAATATGTAGATGATGTCAGAAGCAGCAGAAACACATCCATCAAAACAAACAAAACAAATAAATAAATAATTATAAAAATGCAACACCACTTTAGGTCACAGCAGCCTCTGGGTGGAACTGGCACTGTCATTTTGTTTTACTTATAAGTAAAATGTATTCTACATTTTAAACTACACATAGACCAAATATTTTCATATGGATTGACATAGGGCCATTCTGTCAGACAATCATTGTATTTTATAGTGCTGGGGATGAAATAAATGTAAAAAAGTACGTGCAGTGGGATTATCTGTGTTTGTGTCTTGGAACAAAGCACCATGAATCACAAAACAAGAATGAGAAAATAAAACATTTGGCTAATAACCTCTAAACAATCCAGAACATGTCTCTTTTCAGCACTGTCGAAGCTCTATCTCGGCTCCATCTTTTCCCTAAAACAATCCCATGGCGTGTTATCTATAAAAGTAAAAATATTTGGGGCTTGGAGAGCACCACTGGAAACAGGACCCCAGTTGGTCTCACCACAAAGACTTGAAGGGGGCATTGGGGGGGACAGGAACATAAGTGAGCGGTAAGCATAGCTGAATAGTCTACAGCGCACCCGGGGGCATTAAAGTAAGTCCACTTTGACACTTTAGAGGCAGACTTAGCAGTTGTATGAGATGAGATCCTGTCTGGCCTCCGCTGGACAGGAAAGGGGAGGTCGCTGGTATGTTTTTGTGACAGGTTTGGGACACCCACTTCAGGACACCCACCCCTGACCCTCGCATATACAACATGGAAATCTAAAACTGGGTGTATTGCTAAACAGAGGGGGTTCTGAATCACTTAAAGGACAACGTCTCTTTTTAGCGGAGCCCCAAAACACAGCTGTGTCTAAATGTTCCCGGAGAAACCCCCAGGGAGGTGGCCTCATTCGGCCTGACAAGCCTCAGTTTGGCACGGCTCTGTTCGGCCCCAACAGGCCTCAGTCCGGCACGGCTCTGTTCGGCCCGAACAGGCCTCAGTCCGGCACGGCTCTGTTCGGCCCCGACAGGCCTCAGTCCGGCACGGCTCTGTTGGCCCCGACAGGCCTCAGTCCGGCACGGCTCTGTTCGGCTCGACAGGCCTCAGTCCGGCACGGCTCTGTTTGCACCACATCGTCCACAGTCTTCCCTAAGCACGTCATGGTGGATCTGTCCACACACTGCCGCATATGGATCCCTGCCCTGTGAATACATTTGTCTTTATTTACTTGAGGTCTCTCTCTTCTTGTTTCACTCAAACCCGTCCATCACTGGTTGGATTCCAGTGATCGTTATAACTAGGACCACCCCTGTTCTTCCTCTTACACAAATAATCCAACACTGATTTAATGACGGAGACTTTCCTCCTTTTTAAGTGATGCATTCTTTATGATCTGCCTGAAACATAAGACAATTGTTATTGTAACTTTTAGTTCCGTCAAAAGGGAAGTCATCATTTCACGCTTTGTCCATATAAATCCTATTTCAAAACAGATGGATCCTAAAAACAAGCAAGAATTCAGCCTTTTCTCGAGCTTTGATGTTCTTAAAGGAAAATGCAGCTGTTTTTAGTGCAACAGATACTTTTATTACTCTTAAAATGTAATTGTTAATTTGTCAGGTCTAACTCCTGGATTGGCCTGTATTATTACAGTGAATGTAGTGTATGACCTGTAACTTGTCTGGATGATGTCACATGTTCCAAAACTCTTGTTTGGGTCGGATACTATGCTTGGCCTCATGGTATTGATCCTACATATTGTAGCTGAAAAATAATTAAAATGTATACAATTATTTTGAAATAAACTTATAGCCAGAGGCATTGAAAACTATAGTCACACTAAAATGACCTGAAATGAAATCTGTTTTTTTTCTACTTCTAGAAAATCTGAAAAATGAAAGTTCCAACACCAAGACCTAAGAACTCACCCTGATACGAGACCTGAAAGATTGTGTATTATTGGAACATCCCTATATGTCCACAATCTGACATTCTGTTCAGCTTCTGTTGCTGTGAGACACTGGGACAGGGGGATTTGGGACTTTTTCTGATCCCCTTAGCGCCTCTTTAGCACTTTCTATTTCAAATCCTTTTCCATATTCAAACTTAATTGTGCAAATGATGTTGTTTCTCCTCCCAGCTCTTTGTATCAAGGACGATGAAAGTCCTTCAACTTAAACTGTGAGCGTTAATAAAGATAAATGTTGTTCCGTCAGCAACCACGCCTCGGCCCCTTCGGGATCTTTACATTGTACATTTCAACACATCTTCAAGGCAAACTCACTAAAGTAACGTCAGTCCCCAAAGCACTTCAGACTGTTTACACCACTTAGTCATCACCCCAACTGATGTTCCTCGTAAAGTTTGTGTTGTTAGGCTTAGAATGACTTCTCCTTGTTCCATGTAAAGAGGAGATCCTTTTACACGCCATGTACAGTCCTCTTGGTTTGTTTTCGAAGGCCTCCTCAGCTTTAGTCCTCTGGGATCACGTGTCCACACAACAACCTGCCCCCCGCTCTGCATTTGCAATTCTACCTTAATTTTGAATCTAAAATGTGATCAAGATCTTGATATTTTGACATCCATTTCCATAGGTTAAAGCTTCCAAAATATGCTCAAAGTGCGCGATGCCGAACAGATGTTGTCGGCTCCCACTTTGCTTTTCAGTTATGCAAATGTGATAAGGAATCTGCATCGTAATGAAATAGAACCGCGCCAATTTCCCTCAAAAATGTTCCACACATCACACAAAGCACGGTGATTAAGGCAAAAGTAGGTTAATGTTCTGTGTGCTCGGTCTCACTCGGGGTTTTTCCTTTTCCGACGCCCACCTCCTGTTCTCACGTTCTCCGGTTCAACTGGAGCTCGTGCATAATTTAACGCCACAAAACCACAAATCAATACGTAACGCCGTGTTTCTGTCTGAAACAATTAGCCCTGAGTTGGTCTGGGTCTGACCGGGACAGAAGCGTAATTGAAGCAGATTTATCAACACGGCCCTGGCCTCGAGTCGGATGTGAGCCGAGTTTGTAGGTCAAAAAACCACTGGGACCAACCAGACTGGGACCAACCAGGCTGTAACCAACCAGGCTGGGACCAACCAGACTGGGACCAACCAGGCAGGGACCAACCAGACTGGGACCAACCAGAGTGGGACCAAGTAAGTAAGTAAGTAATCTTTATTTATATACCGCCTTTTCACTGCACATCGGAGTCTCAAAGCGGTTTACAATTGTGATTTTTGGGAGTGGGGGTGCCAGTAGAGGAGGCACATGTCAGACCTATTGTACATATTTTTAGTGGTAGGGGAAACCGGAGCACCCGGAGGAAACCTACGCAGACATGCAAACTCCACTCAGAAAGGCCCTGGTCCAACCGGGATTCGAACCCAGGACGTTCTTGCTGAGAGGCAAGAGTGCTATCCACTCAGCCACCGTGCCGCCCAGACCAACCAGACAAGGACCAACTAGACTGGGACCAACCAGACTGGGACCAACCAGACCCGGGTGGTCTGTGTTTGTAGGTCTGTGTGTGTAGGTCTGTGTTTGTAGGTCAGTGTTTGTAGGGTCTGTGTTTGTAAGTTTGTGTTTGTAGGTCAGTGTTTGTAGGTCAGTGTTTGCAGGTCAGTGTTTTTAGGGTCTGTGTTTGTAGGTCTGTGTATTTAGGTCTGTGTTTATAGGTCTGTGTTTGTAGGTCTGTGTGTGTAGGCCTGTGTTTGTAGGTCAGTGTTTGTAGGTCAGTGTTTGTAGGTCAGTGTTTGTAGGGTCTGTGTTTGTAAGTTTGTGTTTGTAGGTCAGTGTTTGCAGGTCAGTGTTTTTAGGGTCTGTGTTTGTAGGTCTGTGTTTGTAGGTCTGTGTATTTAGGTCTGTGTTTATAGGTCTGTGTTTGTAGGTCTGTGTGTGTAGGCCTGTGTTTGTAGGTCAGTGTTTGTAGGTCAGTGTTTGTAGGTCAGTGTTTGTAGGGTCTGTGTTTGTAAGTTTGTGTTTGTAGGTCAGTGTTTGCAGGTCAGTGTTTTTAGGGTTTGTGTTTGTAGGTCTGTGTTTGTAGGTCTGTGTTTGTAGGTCTGTGTATTTAGGTCTGTGTTTATAGGTCTGTGTTTGTAGGTCTGTGTGTGTAGGCCTGTGTTTGTAGGTCAGTGTTTGTAGGTCAGTGTTTGTAGGTCAGTGTTTGTAGGGTCTGTGTTTGTAAGTTTGTGTTTGTAGGTCAGTGTTTGTAGGTCAGTGTTTGCAGGTCAGTGTTTTTAGGGTCTGTGTTTGTAGGTCTGTGTTTGCAGGTCTGTGTTTGTAGAGTCTGTGTTTGTAGGTCAGTGTTGTAGATGAGTGTTTGTCGGTCTTTGTTTGTGGGTCAGTGTTTGTAGGTCTGTGTTTTTAGGTCAGTGTTTCTAGGTCTGTTTTTGTTGACCTGTAGGGTCAGAAGTCAAAGTGTTGAAATAAAAGCACGTATAAGAATATGTGAGACGAGGTGAAGCAACAGAAAACTTTGGTAAAAGTTTTATATTATAATAAATGTACTTTTTGTCACAAAGGTAACAAAAGTTTGATTATCCAAAAGCAGATTAGAAAATCCAAATACATTTGTCAAAAGAAACACAATGAAATATGCCTCATGAAGCAAAGGCATAATGTAAATACAAGATGGTCTCATGGTCCAGAGGGGTCACTGCTGTTTTATTCTGAGAATATTTGAAAAAGCGACTGTTCTTTTTTATTCTTAAAGTTGGAGAACCTTGGATTATTAAATCCAAGAAAATTTTTCAGATGGACGTATTTTTGTTCTCTGTGAAACCTTTAAACCAGTGGCACAGAGAGTTCCAGTCCTCACTCAAAATGTAAAAAAAAAAGGTTTTCCAGTGAGATAGAAACAGAACGTTGTGGTCCCAGTGAAACAAAAACTCTATATATTTATAAAAAAACAAGTAATGAACCTGAAGTTTAAGGTTTATTGACTGTAGTGCGATGAAGCTGCTGAACCAGGACCAACACAGATGTAGCGTGTGTATCCTGGTTTTAACCTCAGCGTCTTCCACCGTCTCAGTCTTTATGTTGGACACACATCGTCAAAGCAGCAGTGTCGCTGATGTTTTCCAGATTCAGCCTGAAATGATTGAGCCTTTCTCTCTCAGACGCATGTTCTCGTGTGTCGCAGCCCCAACACTCCTTTTACTCCGTCCAAATAAAGAGCTGGATTTTAAAGCACCTCTTTTGTCAGCTCCCATTGAAGATCCACAGATATGTCTTTAATCTGGGAGTGACGGCCAGACAAGGCCGTGGAGGAAGGTCTAAAGAGCCAAGAGCAAACATTCGCCTGTTACGGCTCTGTAAAAATAATCCTACCTTTGCACGTTTGTAATTGATTCTAAAGCAGAAGCTAATTATTTTTCAAATGAACCAAGGACATGTCATAACAAAGAAAAAAGTCCACGAGAAAAGACGTGGCTGAAAACCAAATTGTTTTAAATGATTGTCTCCTCGCTGAAGATGTAATAAAATATCCAGACAGGGCCTTTCTGTTTGCATGCAATAAACGATAGGGATCAGTACATGAATGTGTGTGTGTATTTTCTCATGCAAGATTGTACAACAACCATGGCTAATATTAACCTATAACAACACGTCACTGAGAACATATGAGCAAAGTAAAGGTCCATGTGTCGCTGCAGCCGCTGCTCTGACCCTTCACTAATCAACCATGTGTGGCACGTTTGATCCTGCACAGCGTGTGTGGCCAATGGTCCCACAGTCGGTCCCACAGTCGGGTCAACAACAGTCCCAGAACATGCTCTGGAAACACCACTGGTCGCTCAATTAGGAGCTGTCGCTGGTGTAAAGGAGACGTTTCAAAGGTACAGGGTCTGGTCCGAGAGGCGCATTTGTTGTAAATATTACTGAGGTTTTCTGTTTGAAGGTTAAGAAGAAAAGATTCTTTATTGGTCCCACAGAGATAACACAGTAGGAATGAGGAAAACACAACACAATAATAGTGAAGCATGACAGTAATAAGATAAACATTAGAGTAAACATAAAGGAACGCACTCAGATCAGATTCAGTTTATCTGTAGTAAAACCACGTTGGAATACATCCCCAAAAGTCCCCAGTGTGCACCAGACAAATACAGGAATAATTCAAGATTATTACATTATACCAAAAGAGAATCTAATCTGCAGATTCTGCTCAATAAAGAAATAGTGTAAAGTGCAGTACACTCAAG